AATTTGCTATATATATATATATATATATATATACTCGGGTCTTGGGCCAATACACGACTAAGTGAAATTGATAAAAAAAAACATACTAAAGAGAATTTAATTTCAAAGGATAGTACGTTCTTTTTCTACCCTAATGCTTAATGGAGTTGGGCTTATATTGTTACGGGTATCCAAATCTAGATTGTATAAGTCATCATGGATGAATTCGCTTGGAGGACTTGCAATTTTTTTTTGTAGGTATGATTGATAATCGAATTGAGTCTGTTGAATTCATTTTTTTACACTCCAAATAACTTGATTATTTTACATATAAACGAATTGAATTTTATGAGTTCAAACTGAGCCTAAAATTGTTTAAGTTCGATTCATTTAGAGTTCAATCTGAATCCAAAATGAATCAAACTAGAATTGTTGACTCGATTATTAGCTCTACGGGGACAGAGATAGATGGGAGAGGAGAAATTGGAATCTGGATTGTGAATTGCTCAGGACTTCACTCTTGGGCATGGAACTGAGTTATCAATAGGAAATGACACTAAGCACAATGACATTCTGATTAATTTAAAAGCAAGTTCTTGCAGTCACATCAAGTCCCTCTCTCATGAGAGTTGGAAGTTAAGGATCATAGCCCATGAAAATGTGTGCTGCAAGTTGTGCTAGTTTTCTTGGAATGCATGCAATGCTCGTACAATTATAGAAATTATTATTATTAAAGCAAAAGCCTGCCAAATTTTGCAAATGAGTCAGTATATCATTGGGGCACCGTGTCTATCTTCTGGTTAATTGCAAAACCTTAATGCAAGTTGTACATTAAATGAGAAAAATATATGTATGCAGCCCATCAAAGTGTAGAATATCTTCGATACCAAGGCAAGGATGTCGGGGTTGTGTTGATTTTTTTTTTTTTAATATTGGTTATTGCGTTCTGATTACGGTATAATCTATTTTCAAATTCTAAATAAATTGCATGAATTTGGTGGGAGATCATTGCATCTTGCTTTATTTCTATTGTTTTTTATTTTGATTTTTGTTATTTTTATAGATTATAATGTAATATTGTTTGATTACTCTCGACTAACTGTTTTTAATGACTTAAACTTTAAAGTAGCGATAACGTGGCTAATTTATGCCAAAGTAGCAATAATGATTTTAATTTATTGAAAGTAGCGATAATGCAGAGCTAATTTATGCCTTAAAAACATATATTTTCTCTTATATTTATGGAAAAAATGATTTCCCTTCTTATTTTCTTTCAAAATTGTAAGTGTTGTGTAATCTTAGTTACGTTCTCGTCTCTAATTAATAATAAAATTAATTAGAAAAGGAAAAAGGAAAAGAAAAAAGAATGAACACACACGCACACACTCTTTCGATCTTATCAAACGTTAGAATTTACCAATTCAACTCAATAAAACTTACCCATATTTTTCTTTTATCAAAATAACTTACTCATAAAGCTGAAACAATGAAATTTTGATAAACATGAGAGTAGACTTACATGTATAATTGAGAATTCTCAAGACAATTTTAAATCTGATTCAAAATCAATACAAAATTTTTAGATACCGATGTAATCTTAAAAAGTTCAAATCTGGATTGTTCATGTCATTACGAACGACGCTTTCTCAATAAGATAGAACCAGGATTTCAAGCACTTGTATAGTTATTGAGTTGGACTTCCAACATGTTCATAGGATTGCTAGTTGGTATACATATATCTAAGTAAATTGCAAAATGCATGACATTGGCAACATTAATCTTCACTTTAGGTTATGTAACTGAGTTATCTATAGGACATGACACAAAGCACAACATCCTGGGGGGTTAATGAAATAGAAAGTTCTTTCACTCAGACCAAGTCCTCTTCCGAGTGTTGAAAATTATGATAATTTGGAGGACCATAGACCTTGAATATGTGTGCTGCAAGTTGTGGAGTTACCTTGGAATGCATGCCATGCTCATACAATAATAGAAATGATTATTATTAAAGCAAAAGTCTTCCTTTTTTTTTTGCAAATGAGTCAGTATATATCATTGGGTCATCTTGTCTATATTTGGTTAATTGCAAAACCTTAATGCAAGTTGCACATTAAAATGAGAAAAAAATATGAATTGCAGCCTATCAAATTGTAGAAAACCTTTGACACCAAGGCAAGAATGTCCAAGTTGTTTTGATTTTATTTGCAATTAATGTTGACTGTTGAGTTATGATTACGGTATAATCATGTTTTATATTTTGAAACAAGTTGTTCGAATTTGGTGAACTAACATTGCATCTTACCTTGATCCTATTTTTTAAATCTACTTTCTATTATTTTTATCGATTTAAGTTGTTCGATTTAGTGGATGATCATTGCATCTTGCCTTATTCCTATTTTTTACTATTCCTTTTGATTTATTATGTAGATAGAATTTTTAAGTATTCTCAACCAACTATACTGAGTAACTTAAATTCTAAAGCAATGACAACATGGTTATTTTACACGAAAAAGTTGATAACACCGCTAATTTATGTGAAAGTAGTAATAACACAACTAATTTATGCAAAAAATTAACAACACATCTAATTTGCGCATTAATAGATTTCCTCTTATATTTGTGGCAAATGATTTTCCTTCTTATTTACTTTCTTTCAATTTGTAAGTATCGTGTAAGGTTGTGTACACTTCTAATATCTATAATAAGTAATAAAATCAATGGGAAAAGTGGAAAAGTAATATAATAAGCTTGTGTACACATTCTTGGAGAGGCAAGAGGTTCATTGTAAAAAAGCTAACAACTTGAATTTGCATGCCCTTCTAAAAAGTCAGAATTTACCAACTCAACTCAAATTTAAACACTAAAAATTTTATAACCATGAGAATAGACCAAGCTACATGCTTGATGGAGGATACTTTTAAAGACGGATTTTTAATCTAATTCAAAAATCAATGTAAAATTATTGAACGCAAATTTAATCTTAACATCTTCGTGTTATAATCAGATTGGTCTGTCCAACTCATTTAATAATAGATCAAGCTATACAAGACTTCCACCCGCCTACACACGTGTAAATAAATCGAACATTAATCAAATCAACCTTATCATGGTTTAAAGGTTACATAATCTAAACACAATGCCCGACATTGCTGATCCTGGCCAGGTGGCCCATATCTGAAAATGTGAGTACCAATCTTCTCCACGAGTGCTGTCACTTTAAAGTTGTGGCAGATGAAGACCCTGAAATCCAAGCAATCAATCTCCATCACAAGTAGTCTCGGCTCCTCTCTCCCCATCTTATCTCTTCCTTAAATCTGTACCTATCATCTTCTCATAATTATGATCTTGCACTTTCTTCAAATATCTCTACGCTGAGATTTTGTTGTATCATACACGAGGGGTGTACTGAGAACCAGCGTGTGGGACACCTCATGGTTCTTAATTTATAATTTTTCAAAGTATAAATTATCGTAGCGATTAATCATCGAACCCTAATAAAAACTCTAAAATTCAAACTTTCAACTTCTAGATGAAGAGTAAAGCCGGTACCACCACTAGACCACTCTACTCCGTGGTGGTGGGGGACTTGGACGGACTTGATAACAAAAAAATGTTTTAATCTTTCAAAGAATAGAGCCAATGTGAAGCATCAAGACTCTTAGCTTTCATTGGATAAAAGCTAGATGATACCTAACCCAACTAAATTAATAGGATTATGTAGGCAGGCCATAAGAGACAATGTCTCTGATACTCTCCTCTGATTTTAGTTGGGGTTTGGATCTTATCATGTCGTTATGCTTTGTTGGATTGGGTTAATCTAAATTGTCTTCCAGTTGTGTAATGTCGTGTGTGGAAATATTCTTTATTTATTTATAAATAGAGCAATATTATAAGAATTTAATATAAAAAGATTACTTATTCTCATTGCTAAATTAGTAGTAGAGAGTATTATTCCCATTTTGTATATTCAAATTGTAAACCACATTTAATGAGCCCAAATTTGACTTTGTAAATCCGATAGGAATTTGAACTGATAATTCGACAGATTTTATTTTTATGGTTCATATTCGAATCTGTTAACAATTCGAAATTCGATTCGATCTAAATAACTTAATTTAACAAATTATATCTAAATTTTAACTAAATTTATTCAAATAAGTACTTAATTTCTTTGCTATTTATACACAAATTAATAAGATTTTGGATCGGATCATAATCAGATCGGATATATATATATATATATATGTGTGTGTGTGTGTGTGTGTCCAAATCTAAATCCGTAAAATATAAGATTTCATATTCGAATTCTAATTTGAATGATCGATAAAAAAATATCAATTCATATCTAACTAATTGAGTTCAAATCAAAATTGGATCCATTGATAGGCCTACCTGTCAAATAATAGATTAAGTTTAAAAATCGTCAATAATCATTTTTCCACCTAAGTTTACAATATCCCAAAAAAAAGAAAAAATTAATTACCGCATCAAATTTAATCTAAGGTCGATGTTATTAATTTTTAGATATTTATTATAAGATTAAAAAAATAAAAATTATATATTTTATTGAATAAAAATTAAAATTACGACATTAAAAATTTAATTTTCGATACTTAACCTAGATGTTGAGATTAATGATTGACTTAATAATCACAATCCTTATTATTAGACCCAAAAAATTATGAATTTGAATTTCATCGTGTTAAATGAGATTATTATTTTATGGTGGTGTATTAGGCTAATTTGTCATTTTAAAGTTGGAGATTTAAGTTTTAGAGTCATATTAGTACTCGATAGTTGACCGTTTTACTAGATAGTTGATCGTTTTATTAATCTTATTAAGTTCGTACTCAAAAAAAAAAAAACAAGTACGATCAAAAAAACCCGGTGATCCCATAAATGAGAACCTATTGGAGGTGGTTACCGGATATTTTCCATTTACCCGACCCTTTTTTCCAATAGAAAAGGAAAAATGTTTGAGGCATCCATCTCCAACACCCAAGTTGGGGGAGAGTGTGGATAAAACGTGGATACCAGAAGCCAATCAGAACTCAAAGAAATCTAAAGCTCCCTCCACCCCCATATATCTTTGGCCCCAACCCATCACCCGGTCAATACTTTCCCACACCAACCCCACCTCCTCCTCGAACACCATCACCACAAGCTCTCATAGGCCTCTCCTCCTCCTCTCTCTTTCCCTCTCCAAAATTCTAGGGTTGGAGTTTGGGCATTGTCTCACCTGAATTGTTTTCTCGTGCCTGAAAAATGGCTGTTTCGAGCGGGTTTGCAGGGGTCAATTTCGAGACTCTTCTCATCAGCAGCAGCGCAGCGACCGCCTCATCATCGTCGTTATCTACGCCGAATCAAATTTGGGTTTTCTGCAAACCAGCTCGAACCAGAAGAAACAGCCTGGTTAAGAAAAATGGTTGGGGTTCATCGTCAAACCCTGCGATCAGGTGCGAGATTGCTGCGTCGGATGTCTTGGTTCAGACCACTGACAATTCCAATTCGGCTTCTTCTTCCTCTTCTAGATCTTCCAGTCTCTCTGCTCTCGAACTGCTCAAGACATCTGCAGCTGACAGTATGGCCCAAATTTTGTTTTTTTTTCTCTTACATATTGAACTAGTTGTTTCGATTTCACTGGGTAAACTTCTATTTGATTCTAATAACGGGTTTTGTGTGTGACTTACTTTGGAATTTGCAATGCGATTTGAATTTAGTTCGTTCTTATTCTTTTGTGCTTTAAACACTTCATTTTACGCTATTTTTTGCTCAAGCGTTGACTGGTTCAGTTCATCATCTGATTGTTGATGATTTCTGTTAATACAACAGCAAAAAGATTGGCATATTTTTGGTTTGAAGGGACTATTAGAAGAAAATAACGAGCAAAGCAATGTGATTGGTTTCTTAATTAGATCGCGAGTGCTCTGTGATTTTGCAATCGGTTAATTCCTTGAATAATGATCCAGCACAGTTATGGCCTAAAATCTAATACTGCTCTGTCATGTAGATATTACGTTCTATGCTAGGTGGTTGCTTACATCAACATGTTTATGACATGGTGCCTTATTTGGTGTGAAAAATCGCTGTGAACTCTGGAATTTTCCTATCTCTGGGAATCTTTCTATATGTCTCACATGTGATACATGTGTCCTTTGACTAATTAATATGAGATAATTTGGTTTAGGTATTACTTTTTCAGGATTTGTTGTTATTTAACTTGGTAGCATGACATTAAATTTATGCATACACATGTGAAATCTTCCCAGTTTTTTTTCTAAGGTTTGTATTTGATGACATCAGGGTATACTAAGGAAAGGAGCAGCATTGTAGTCATTGGGCTTAGTGTGCACACTACACCTGTTGAAATGCGTGAAAAACTTGCCATTCCTGAAGCAGAATGGCCACGAGCTATTGGGGAGCTTTGCAGTTTAAACCATATAGAAGAAGCTGCTGTTCTTAGTACCTGCAACAGGATGGAGATATATGTTGTTGCTCTATCTCAGCACCGTGGAGTCAAAGAAGTGACTGAATGGATGTCAAAGGTAATGCTCACCAGACTACTGAAAAATTATCCACTTTTGTGGAATCAAATATTCTTCATCTGTAAAAGATAGCCCAGGGAGGCTTTCAGCGAAATGGTCTGACCAGGGCTATAGTTTGCTCATGTGTTTAGTTTGTGAAGTATTGAAATTATTCTTACTGTTCTGGATGGTAATTGCGATAAAAAACTTCCACCCTCCAACCAAAAAAAAACTTCTACCTTCTGAATGGTTGGGCTTTTAGCTAAGCTTCATAGCTCCTCAATCGTGACTCCCTGCCGGGTTTCTTATATGGTCTTTGCATGGGAGATTTCCTGTAACAGATTGAAATAGCGATCTTCTGTCTGGTAAACTTACAACAACCACGGGATCAGAAAACTGGGCCGGGTGAACACCCAGCTTATCCCTCCGAAGTTTAAGTCAGTATAAGATTGGAAGCTTGAGCGCAATATATAATCTCTCTTGATTTAATGTTGCGTACTTTTGTTCATTTTTCTGAGGAGTATTTATACCTGAAATAGCAATGAGTGCAAAGGCTTTAAGTCTCATCTTAACATTTAATGTCAGACACTCTTACCCATGTACAATGAGTGTTCTCTACTCAGATCTCCACACCTTTAATGCTTGGATGATAGGACCAGTGCTCGGGGCCACGCCGAGCAGTTATTGCCATCCTCGAGAAACCCAAGCACCTATGGTCGGCGCATGACATCTATCCCTGAGCGTTTAATGCTCGAGAAACAGTACCTCGGGGTACATCGAGGCAAAATACTCGGCGTAATAGTCATTAATGCGAAGCAATCATGACTGTAGGCTTAGGTCTTTGAGGATGCAGGCGCTCATTAATAACCTTGTCTGAGCCACTCACATCGTCATAAATGTGCTGTCAAGTCGCATTAATTGCTAGTGTTAGTTTATGTACGCGGCTCCTTCAAGCCATCCTTCCTCGGCTCCACTCCTCGGCGTCTCTTGAGGTCCATAATGGCTACATATTTTACACGTGTCGTTTAGGGGCTGCTGAGCCGTCTAAAGTCCCGGCAGTCTTCATGTGCATTCATAATTAGACTTCTCTAATATGATTGGGGGATCAAACATTTAACTGTGAATAAATGGATGCTGATTATCATTTCTTAAGTTTTGTTCCTTTTCTTGGCAGACAAGTGGGATCCCTGTTTCAGAGATTTGTGAGCACCGATTTTTGCTCTACAACAAAGATGCTACACAGCACCTCTTTGAGGTATCAGCAGGGCTAGACTCCTTGGTATTAGGGGAAGGTCAAATCCTTGCTCAGGTCAAACAAGTTGTCAAGGTTGGGCAAGGAGTTGTAGGCTTTGGGAGGAACATCAGCGGGCTGTTCAAGCATGCAATCACCGTTGGAAAGCGGGTCAGAACTGAGACAAACATTGCAGCAGGGGCAGTTTCTGTTAGCTCTGCTGCTGTGGAACTTGCCTTGATGAAGCTTCCAGAATCTTCGCATGCCACTGCTAGGATGTTGGTGATTGGAGCAGGCAAGATGGGGAAGCTAGTGATCAAACACTTGGTGGCCAAAGGATCCACAAAGATGGTTGTTGTAAACAGATCGGAGGAGAGAGTTGCAGCTATCCGTGAGGAGCTAAGCGATGTTGAGATAGTCTACAAACCCCTTGCAGAAATGCTAGCATGTGCTGCTGAAGCAGATGTAATTTTCACCAGTACTGCATCAGAAACCCTATTGTTCTCAAAAGAACATGTAATGGTCCTTCCGCCTGTTGGTTCAGATGTTGGGGGTTTGAGGCTTTTCATTGATATCTCCGTGCCTAGGAATGTGGGGTCTTGCGTTGACAATCTTGAGACGGCACGAGTTTATAATGTGGATGATCTTAAAGAGGTTGTGGCTGCCAATAAAGAGGATCGGCTGCGGAAAGCAATGGAAGCTCAAACAATAATTACTGAGGAATCAACACAATTTGAAGCTTGGAGAGATTCACTGGAGACAGTTCCCACTATCAAGAAACTAAGGGCGTATGCTGAAAGAATCAGAGTTGCAGAACTGGAAAAATGCTTGTCAAAAATGGGTGATGATATCTCAAAGAAAACAAGAAGGGCTGTGGACGATCTTAGCCGGGGAATAGTAAACAAGCTCCTTCATGGTCCAATGCAGCACCTGAGATGTGATGGGAGTGACAGCAGGACTTTGAGTGAGACCCTTGAGAATATGCATGCTCTAAACAGAATGTTCAGCCTTGAGACTGAGATATCAGTGTTGGAACAGAAGGTTCGAGCTAAGGTGGAGCAAACCCAGAAGTAAGCCCCCATGCAAAAATTCTCTCACTACGCTCCTTTCACTTCTTGAATCTGAATAAGAGGAAAATTTCCTCACATTGTCCTTGGTTTTGTTACTTGTAAAGCTTTCATCGAACAGATAAACGGAATAAGGTCCCGTTTGGGGATCTTTCCTGTTCATTAAGTGTTGTCCGAAACTTGAGTCACTTTTATTCAAAATTTCCCTGGATGTCTGCAGTGTAATCGGCCATTCGGATTGTAGAATATATGGGGTAGAATGAGGTGAGCCTGATCCATGTAACGGACCCAGTTTCTGCGGCTGTTTGTGAAACCCTGATAGTCCTTGTAATTAATATACTGATTATTTTGACATTTTGATTGTTTTCAATGTCTGACTTTGTTGCGAAATTGTTCTATCTCAATTTGTTCTAATGATATGTACGTTTTATCATTAGGCACAAGCATCTGATGTTTGGCAATTAGAAAGCTGTAGATAACTTGTGGTATCCCCCTTGGTTACTAATCTGGAGTGAATGCATGAATTAATAATTTGAGAGGGGATTAAAGGACCGCCTTACTTATAAAGGGGTTTTTCTTATGAAAGGAAAAGAATTCCCCTTGACGGTGAACTTGTTTCTCAGGACCGCCTAAGGAGATTCCTGGTGTTAAACAATTATGTAACCTAATGAAGGACTATGACTGAAAATCCTCAAGTCCTTTTAAGTCCTCTTGGCAAACAATGACCAATTTTAGATCATAAGGAAAAATCAACTCTATGTTAAAAAGGTACTTTGCATAATGTCTAGTTCATTGGGCACTAAGTTGATTGGATCAATAGAAGGTGCGTGCAAGCCGTGGTGAACTGAGAGATGCCACGCAAGGTGCAGGAACTAAGATTCTTCATTAAATTAGTCATATTTAAAAATCTTTATTTATATAGCTGTATATATAATATGTTAGGTGGTTCATCAAGGGCTTCTCGGGTGATTGGAAGGGCTATATAAGAAAATATGTAGTATCTTGAGCTGGCTTAAGAGCTGCTTTATAGATCTGCATGATTCGGTGGGAATTTGTTCAAGATTATAAGAAAACAAGTTATTACTTTTCCAAGTAAAAAAAGCAAAAGAAAACTTTGCAGTAATGTAGAAAATCTGTTTATCTCAAAATGAAGGTAGTTTTGGTGAATCTTTGTACACGCTTTTATTTAATTTTCATACCACAAACAGGAATAATGTTACATTACATACATGAAACAACTTGTTCTAAAATTACTGATGTCACAGAGTGCCTTGACCCATGGAATGGAATTGTTGGTTGATGAAAGTTGCATCATCATGGCATTGGGCATAAGATTGCCAGATGCATAGATTAGCTCATTCTCTTACTGTCGGTCAACATAAGTGATGCACGAGATTTACATCCCTGTATTGCTACCCATCCCTGTCCTGCACCAACCTGTTTAATTTAGTTAGAAGTGTTAGAGAAAGAAGAGAAGCAGTTACAAAAGAAATGGGCAATTGAATGAAGTTAAAAGAAGTGGTTATATTGCAATGTGGAAGAATTTTATTGGAGAAAAGTTGATAAAAAAATAATAAATAAGTGAATTAAGCATTTTTGGAAGGAAGATAGATTAGTTGCTCCTCTCCTATGGAAAAGAGCAGTGTGCTATCCAGCCTGCGGTTATTCAAATGACTCCCTATTCTGAAAACAAGCAACGTAGCAGCTCTGAAGGAGGTATAAACCCTGTCAAACTTTCTGGAGTTTTTGTACCCTTGTTTGTTCGTCTTAAAAACCAGCAACACTTTAGACCCACATTGTAAAAAAGACTATTCTTTTTGAACTGTACTTGCATTGAACTGTACTTGCACAGTTTTAAAACTTATTGTATGTCTGAATCTCACACTGATCAAACATTTTCAGACACCACGCCAAATGATACAGGGAGGATGGATATGGGTAAACACCTTCCGATGTTTTGCCTTGTGTCATGCAAAGGTGGACCTCTTCCCAACCCACAGAAGGCAGGGGAGGGTCCAAATTGCAGATGCTTAGTACTAGGGGTGGTCCCAGTGAAGTCACATGATCACATTGCATTTGTTCCTTCAGTTTTTGATCCATCTACAGTCATTTATATTCCCTTTGTTGGTGAAATTTTTGGTTGATGCCTGTAAACTGTGGGCAAATATTTGTGATGATCATTGTCCGGTAACGCTGTTTTGGTGCAGTTTCGAGGGGGAAAGAGACATGTTCCAGTTGCAGAGACACAACACTACAACTTCTTCTTGATTTGGTACAGTGCAAGGAGAGGAAGGCATCCTAGAGGGATGATGATCCTTGCTGTAGTCTTGTCCGGTTTTGCAATTATTCTTCTTTTTGTTCCCGGTGAGTAAAAGATTTCTATGACAAGTTCAAATATTATTTTGTGACTACGATTTATATGCCTCTGTTATATTATATAAACAAAAAATACAAAAGTGCTTAAGAAAATGTTACCAAAAGGTGGTTTTGTCTTCCTATGTCAACTGCAATTGAATTTTGATTCCTACCAACTTTGTTGCTAGTTTCTTCCACTCTCTTTCCTCCTCGAGATAATACTTTTAGGTCTCAAGCACAATGCCGATAAAACACACTGTTATACTCTTGTCATAGTGAAGTATAGGAGATACTATTCCAAGAGTAGTCAATCCAATGCAGTGGTGCATAAGCCCACCATTTTTGTTTGCTATTCAATCCAATGCAGTTTCTCTCTCTCTCTCGACCCCTAATATCTTCCTTGTATGATGACTTTTGCGAGTAGTAAATTAGATAGCAATCATTTTCTCTCCTCCTCCACTTCTATAGCCATTTTCCTAAATTCCATTTAAGTTGTAATTTTCCAATGAACATTATTTGGTCTTCTGCAACACACAACATCTCTCCTTCAACAAGGACCCAACTTTCTTTTCTCAAAGGGTTCTCTTGGATTATTTGTATAAACCCATTGATTAAACAAGCTTGACCTACCAATGCGGTTCTGATTCAAATTCATAAAACTAAAATCCTACCCGGTACCAAATTGTATGAGAATCCTTTGAGAGAAAAAACAGTGATAAGTAAAAATCATACAAATTAAGAGAAAAGGAGGTAAACATGTGAAAAATGAAAGTAAAGAAAAAGACATTCTGTCCTTGGAGAATTAATAAAAACCATCACAATTGCATTTACATCAGTCTCTCGAAGATCAAACCATTACCTGTCTACCCAAAAGGCAAATAGACAAAACTTGGCACCTTCAATCAATCAAGTGTAGGCCCACTCTGCAGAAAGGGCCGGGCCGTCAGGTATCTCTTGTGGCTATTCTACCCATTGGGCCCTGTGGGCCACTCTCTCCGCCCATTACCCAACTATGATCTAAACATCATGCGGAAGAAAATTATTAGTTTATTAGAATCTAGCATTCTCAAAGCCGTGCAAATCGCCGACTCTATTCAACGACTTCTTTGTCATCGCCACCTTAGCCAGCTTCTCAGCTGCTCTCCAAGCCGAAGTCGGTGTAAGCGGCTCTCCATTCTCATCAAGAAACACACCCACTTCTCTATCATTCACTCTCCGCCGTTGGATCATCTGTTGCTGCTCTATCTGCTGTTGATATTGTCTCCTCCATTGCAGCTCTTCCAGCTCGGCTTCCAAGCCGCGAATGTAGTCATTAGCCGATATCGAGCTAGACTGAATCAACAAAGCTCTAGTCGAGGACAACAAATGATGCGCACTAGAAAACTCATTGTGCTCAATTAATCGCCGAGACTCGGCTATTGCTCGCGTAGTGATGAAGAGATTTCTCAGCCGTTCGATATTAGGCATTGAAGATCTAACGGCTTGTGGCTTCGGGACAGGCAAGGCCTGTTCTCTACTGTAGATTAACTCTTGGGTCGCTGGGTCTCTATAGGAGCATTTAACGGACAACACGTGGTGGGACCCAATAATCGACGTGGGGACCTTCAATTCCACCAGTAATTCTCTTTCCTCCTCGGCGTAGAGGTCACCAAGCCGAACACTATCTGAGCCGAGCACTGTGGGCCGTCCATTGCAAGAATAAACGGCTGCGATTTCAGCTGGGTCTGAGCCAGAGGAAAAACCCAGCTGAATACGTAAATCTTGAACCACCACGCTCAGTAACCCACCAACGCATTTAGCAAAAGCATCCTCGGCCGGCTCATAGCTATAGCCAGCCGTATGTACCGGAATTTCGATGTGAGCGAATCGAGTGGATGACACATGGGTTGATCTTTGACGTTGATTTATGTTATCTGAGTGCACCTCCCTCTCATCTTGACCGCCGGATAAGAGAATGATGCTGGCAACTGGGTTTCTCTCTCTTCGATCTTCAAGTACTTTAGTGGCTTTTCTTAGAGCATCACCAACGCTATTCCCTTGACTACATGTAAGCCGGTCAATAAGCCGTAGAGCAGACCGTTGACCGTGGGGCGTCATTCTTCTTAAAGGCAAGAGCCGCTTAGGACTAGCCGAGAAGGCTACGATTGAGAGCCGGTCAGCCGAGCCGAGTGATGAAATAACCAGGCGCATGGCTCGCTTGAGCATATGAAGCTTGGCTCCACCCATGGCACCACTCACATCAAGCACCGTCACCAAATCAATGGGAGCACGGCGCGTCGGGTCCAGAAAATTGGCGGTGTTGCTATTGTGCGCCGGCGGTGGTGGTTGCGGTGGGGGTGCTTTTACCTTCAAAACGACGGTGTAGGTCTCATAGGGTTCGATTCGTTGAAACGATAGCAGCCTCTGGCATCAATTTCGCTTCTACATTTCTCAAATCTCTGGTGTTGTTTACGGGTTCGTCACTTGAAATGGGATTGACAAAGAACCCTTGAAACTCTTCGATCTCATCTTCGAGTGCTTCGTTCTCGTTTGCTTCTGGGATTGGAATGAACTTAACACCGGCGGTCGGTGACAGCAAGGGCTCGTCGTCGTCGTAAGCCCTCGTATCGTGCTGTTTGATGGGTAATTTTGGTTCTTGCTTGGTTTTGAGATTGGTAAGTGATGGGGAATGTAGTGGTTCTTTGGTTTCTTCAAGTTTTTTTTTGGTGGAGTCAACTTCTTCTTCTTGATGGTGTTGCTGTTGCTTAAGCTTGTGAATGGCAAGCAGAGGAACGTCTCGCCATGTGGAGTTGCAGACTGGGCAGACAAGGTTGCCTTGCTTTCTCACGTGTGAAGCTATGCAGGGGAAGTGAAAGGAGTGAGAGCATTCTGCTGTGTAAATTGCCATTCCTTGACCTGTCTTCACGCTCTGCAAGCACACTCCACAGTTATTCTGCAGAGATAAAGTCGTAAAGACCCATTAGGTCAAATCCTATATATACACATATATTCATTTGATATTGGGAGTAAAATGTTGAATTTCTTACTCTATAAAGACGAAGGCTGTTCTTGAGAATCGAAAATGGGGATCTGGGGGAAGATGGGTTTGAACCCAGAAGTCCCCTAGGACTCTTTGTGGACTTTGGGGTGTTGGTTTTGCATTGGAGCTTGGGGCTAATGAGGGTCTCATTAGCAGGGTGTGTAGGAGCAGCTGCGACGGTGCTGGTTCGACAACGCAAAGTCGTCGGAGTTTGAGACGACAAGCGAGGCGTAGATGGGTTGCTTCCACCACCTGATAAAAAGCCAAACTTGGCACAGCTTCTGGGGCTCGGACTTGGGCTTGGGATTTGAGTTTGGAAGCTTTGTTCATGATGCTTATCATCAACTTTTGTTTCTCGATCTCTAGGGATTGTTGTGCAAAAAGCTCTTCTCCAACCAGTGCCCATTTCTCAATGACCCAGAAAAGCTTTAGACCCAGAGGATGCCTTCTCTCTCTGTTTTCTCACTAGTATATTGTCTCTCTATCTCTATCTGGACTTTTTTATAGAGAAGAAAAGAGAAGATGACAGTGGAGAAAAAGGAGTTTTGTTGGGATCGATCTGAAGAAGCTGACACAGAAGACAAAAGGGCAAGATTGAGGTAAGCAAACGAGCATGGGATCAACTGAAGGAAAAACAATAGAGACAAATTTACTCAGACTAAAAGATAGAGGGAGGCCAACTCAGACCCTATAATAAGCCTTCCCCACTTGCTCTCTCTCTCTCTCTCTCTCTCTGTATGTTTCGTATCGTATGGATGGTCTTTTAAAAAGATCGCTGCAACTGCGAAGGGCCTAGATAGAAGTTGAGATCCGGCTCTTTCTCTCTTTCTGTTATTGGTTTTCTTGGTTGGATGCTGTATATATATAAACACTCATATTTATGAGGGTTAGGTAATAATTTCAGAATTTTTACCTGACCTTGGTTGGTGACAGCTTATTTTTTACAACACGGTCATCTCTCTCTCTCTCGTATTGAAACGCGAACCTGTTTATTTTTGTATTTGATTGTTGATGGCATTTCAATTGATTTTCATTAATGATGTAGCTGAACTTACATAAATTACAAACCTTTCATATCATATTGTGCAGATGCGCGTATACCGAGAATTAAAAATTTTTCTGATTTTTAATATAATATCAAAATTTGTATTTTCTATCAAAAAAAGGTAAAGGAAAAATACTCAAAAATCCACTTTATAAATCTTAATCACTCACTTTCTAAATCACTTCTGAATATTTATATTCTACAGATATATAGGACGCAAGCGACTTATCACTTACATATTGATAAGTGTTGTATTATAATCGATAGATGTGTTCCCTAAACTTCCACGAGACGAGATTGAATGACAAGCAACTCCGAGGCTAAGTGAGAATGCACTACGAAGGAACAACGATGTGTGCAACTAATACCGAGTCTTGATGTTATGACTGATTATTATTCAAAATCACATCAACTCTAAATTTGTATCAAATTGGTGGAAAAAGGGGCATGACCTTTTGCTGACGGAGAGTAACCCTCGGGAGTATCAAATTAAATTCACGACGCGAAACCAAAAATTCTCGGCATAGAGCACTTGATATTTCAAGATGACTTAATGCTTAACATAAATGCTTGGCATTTCGAGCATTAGAGTCATAATTGTACCCTGTCATCGTGATAGAGCATTAGAGTCATAATTGTGCATTTTGATAATAAGAGATGTGCTAATATGATAGCTTCCTTGAAGGGGTTACGATCTTAAACTACCAAATCTAAGCTTTAAGCACTCAAGTGATTGACACGTCATCATATTTAAAAGTATTAGTTAAAGCACACATGCAAACTATTTTGAATATCACATAGGGAAGAATATTTTTGTTATGTAAATTATACAATTTTTATTGTTTTAGATTTTTAAAAAACAAGTGGTATTTGACCCACATCATTGTAAAAGACAACACTTTAACCATAGATTAAGAGGTTTTCTAGAGTTTAAAAGGGGCATGCATTGTAATATTACAAAAAAAAAACATTGAAGACTTTGAGGCCACATTGAACATTAAATTCAAATTAAAGCGAGAGACATGTTAGTGTTAGTTGAAATGTTATTCAAGGTAAATTCCTATCAGGACCTTACCTAATTCAAGATTTATTATTGTATTACTTTTAACCCATAAGTGAAATTAGAAATCATGTCAGGATCCTGAATCAACACACAATATAACCATTAGCATAAGAAATTACACTCTATTAATGAAAAAATTATAAATTCTAAAAGGTAATATAGTGTAATACATGATTTTATAGTAATATTTAAAATTGCCCTCATCACAAGTGAGTTTTTAGAACATCCAATTGGTTACAGAATTCAAAACGACAACTACTTCATGCATTTTTCCTTATAGATTCACTCCGTCAAAATGTCAAAGGCAAGCTACATGTTCCACCATTTTGTAGATTTTGATATCAAATTCTCCAAAAGATGACTTCTTTTTCAAATAAAACAATAAATAAAATTACCCAGGAAAAATTTATTTCCTCTCTATCTATTAAACCAAAGGTAAAAGATATTAATAAAATTATTTCCTCTCTGCCTATTAATAAAAGGGTCAAATGTAGTATTGCTTTCATCATTTTTATGGCATTATCAGTAATAACATTTTTATTCTTTTTGATCCTCAGTGATAAAAATATATCATAAGTTGAGAACACAATTTTTTCATGCTTTTATGTATAAAGCAAATAGTTGGTAAAAGTAATAAACAAATTCACAAAATTAGAAAAATCAAGTTGCTAAAAGGAAAAGCTTTTTTATTTTGGTCAAGTCTTTTTTGCTTTGTCACGCCAAAGACCATTATGTTTTCAATAGACAATGATTTGCCAAACTTTCCAAAACTCTTCAAATATTGTAGATGCATGAAACTTAAGCACAACATATAGTACATTTCTAGTATTAAAACTACAAAAGTGCTAAAAGTTAGAAATTTGAAATTTCTTCACCAAGCATCTGAAGAGCAACACGAGTTTGTGGGTTTGGCCTTGAGCTTTTGTTAACTCCACAAAAGAATGAGTTCTTTTTTATGATCATTTCTGATACGAAGGATTGTGTTTTACGAATGGTAGATTTCATGTGAATTTGGTAACAAAATCCCAAAATTTGAAATTTAACCCAAAATTAATTCTAACATAAAAGGAAAATGAGAGACACAAAAAAACCATATATGGAACAACACATGTTCAAGCATAAAGAGAATTGGTTCAAGTCTCGTGGTTTGTAGTGTCACTTCCCCAAGTAGACTAGGTTAATTCAACATGTAGGAAATCTATATATAGAAGTGAGGTGAAGTGTGACGCACTTAAAATCGGGGTACTTTATTAATCGTTGACTATCTATCAACCTGCAGAAATACTTGTGATTGTCGCACAACTCAACGTCATGTCTATAACATCCCCTTAATCGGGATTTTAACCCACACGCGTAATTTGTGTACATTTTATCATTTGATCTAACCGTGGTCCAATGTACCATATTCATACTCTATATAGTCAATTTACATCATTTAGAAGGAAGGACACATAACCAAAAAGCATGGCAAAGCGTTATTAAAATTTTAAATTTTTGGAAGGCCTACCGGTAGGGTGAGCTTACTGAAAAATTTATACCGGTAGGGTCTGCCTACTGAAAAATTCCTATCGGTAGGTTTTGCCTACTGGACAAAATTGCCGGTAGGCTGTATCAGTAGATTTTGTCCAATTTTACCAGTTTTTGATTCTCAACCCATTTCACTACCATCCAAAACATGTTTAATGAAATTTTCCACATTACACATGATCCATACAAGTTTTATTACATTCATTTACATACTAAAACTAAGTTTTCATAATAATTTTATAAAAACTCAAATAAAGCCACATCTCGACTTTTTTCATCTTTGAAGTACCGTGTGAGGGCCTTCTATCGACGCATATCCTGCATTTGAAATGTTTTCCCGTATAGGGTGAGCTACGCTTAATAGAGTATCTCCTATAGAGACTATTCCCTCCTAGATGCATATGAAATGTGCACATCCAACAATCAACAATCATTTTTCATTCCAAACTAAAATA